CGTGCAGTTGTTGGAAACTGTAGACAAAAACAGAAATATGCTTAGCAATAGAGAAGGAAGCACATTTTTAGTTCAAAGGCCTAGTATCAATGCATTTATTTGACTTTCTACTCATTTTTTCTGGACATGCAATAGCTTTACATCTTGCCTGATAACAAGTACGAATAGGTAAATTTCGTTTGTTGTTAACTCTTAAAAATGCCAGAAGTTGAACAATAATCTTGCCCTTGTTTCAAATTTCATTTTTTATTTGGCTAATAGAAACAGTTTAAACAAATCTATGTAGCATGGAAAAAATTGTGGTATTTTTGTACTAAAATTACACACCAAGTGAAAGGCGAATGAAAGGATAATTTTAAGAGCTTAGTGATACTTCATTTAGCATCCCTCGTCGAAAGACTGAATTCTTTAGTGACCTAAACTTTCAAATTGTTGAAAAAAAGTGCAGAACAGGTACATTGGAACGCAAGTATCGCAGGAAAAAGTAAGAAGTAGCTACGTTTTCGTAAACTAGAGATTCTTTGTTTTAATAAACAGTGATTAAAAGAAGTTTAGAATTGGATGGGCATTACAGTATATTTGTAATTAAGGCATTATTTGAGATAATGAATGGTATACTTTATTGAACGAAAATCCCTTCACAGTAATGCTGTGCTAATTGCATATTTGCTTCCAATAAATAATAGTTTCTAAAAAATTCTGGATAATTTTCAATGTTACTCTTAGCGTTTCAACTGATAATTCTGCGCCGTACACTTGTTTTGCTTGAATTCTTCGTTCAAAAGTAATAACTTTAAGGATTACAGAACAAAAAACTTGTATTTTATCCAGTCTTTGGGGAGGGGGGGGGGGCTGTAACTCCCTCCCAGGTTAAAATCACTTCGCCCACTGATATAAATCTTATTTGCAATTTGCTTATCAAAACGACTCTTTTGAAAAGCTTTTCAAGAGCTATAAGATTCTTAGCCAGTTGTAGCCATTGATTTATGGGCAGACAAGATGAGCAATCCTGTTTGATTTTTTTCAAGGTTTGTCATCTCCCCACTAGACTTGTATCTTTCATACAAAATTCTTTTCTTTTTTTACTTTTAAATGTCTGTTAAGTTTGAAAAGAGAAGAATGACGAATTAGGTTGACAAGAAAAAAGTTTCAAGAAAATTTCCCGTTTTATCACTGATACTGGCAACTGGTTTTGTGATATTAACTTTGCCTTTCAGAACGCTTTAATCAAAATGCTCATTGAATAAGCAAATTGTTGTTATCAGTTTTTGAAACCCATTGGATATATAAAATGTTTTTGTTGAATCTAGACAAAAAATGATGATCTCGGTTTATTACAGAGATTCACATACGGTCTCATGAAGTGAAAAAAATAGGGAAACAAAAAAGAAAAACTTTGGCCCCGCGCGCCGAGTAATGCGTTGCGTGTGGCGCGTTCATTTGTGAAAAAGTAGTAAAAAGAAGAATTTTTTTTTGCTATCTCTGAGTTTTTTTTTTTTGTCAGTTGTTTATGTTTATTAATGCCCCATTTCTGCAGTAACGTTTTACCGATAAAGTTAACTTACCATTTTTTTTTTTTTTTTTTTTGTTGTTCACTGTCGTTTTTGTGTCTTTAGTTTTTGTTTAAACCTTTACTAATTTACAATTTAATTGTTAGTTCTGTAATTGTTTTCCTCAGAATCAACAAATTTTTTGCATATCGAATGCAATTTCTATCCATAATTGGGTACATTTACAGATGCAAAATGCATATGATACTCCTCTCAATGGCCCGATTGCGTTTTAGGTCTTTTTTTCTTCCACTTTATTTTATTTTTGAGTTTTTTTTTATTGCATTTGTTTTGGTGGAATGAATGTTTCTTTTCTTGGAATGGGCTGAGTAACAAAAAAAAAGAATTTTTTTAGTTTAGAATTTTTTTTTTACCGTTTTGCTGTTGTGCCCATTTATTAGCTGTAGAAGTTTTTGGAAACTATGGTTGTACATTTTTT